GGGGGGGGGGGGGGGGGGGGTGGAAAAGGCGGAAAAATGGGGGGAATTTTTAGCCTTTTTTTTGGTTTTGAAAAGGGGGCTTTAAGGCCCCCCCCCCGGCCAAGGGGGGGGTTTTTTTTGGTTTGGGGGGGGCCCCCTTTTAAAAAAGCCTTTTGGGGGAAAAAACCCCCCCAATTTTTGGGGTTTTGGGGCCCCCCCCCCCCCCTTTGGGGGGGGGATGGTAAAAAGGTTTTAAAATTTAGGGCTGGAAAAAAATTTTTTTGGTCCCCCCCCCCCCCCCCCCCCTTCGTGCGCGTGCGAAAGCTCCGGCCAATCACCATTGCCCGTCCACCACGAACGCCCCGAAAATGGCACCATACTGCTGTACCTGATTCGGTTTGCCCCTAGGTCAAGCTTTCGCAGGCGAGTGAGGCCTTCAAACCCCTCGATGGCGCGAACGCGATTTTGCGCCACGAAAGCCTGGCGGGTCGGAACGAACGATAAAAAAAAAAGAATGAAATCAACACGGGAGGCGGAGTTTCTGGGTATCAAGGCGGGAAACGCTGGCTGACTTCAATTCCAATTGTTGTTTTGTTTTCTTGTGTGGAGTCCTCCGAGAACCATGACAATGATGTCGGGAGACGAAGACTCTATTTTCCTTCTGAGACGCACGTCACAAACGTTGGTGCCGCGACGCTCTTTTTATGTCCTCACCGATGTTGCAACTTATTTTTTCCTGCCAATTACTGGGGGTCCCACCCCTAACGAGTCTCGCCGCATTGTATCGCGTTCGCCCGGGGGGCCAACTTCATGAAGAAAAAAAACTCTTCCCGGCGGATAGGTCAACGGGGAACTGCGGGAATTCGCCGCATTTTTTTTGCCACCTCGTCCAGCAAAGGGCAGCCTGCGATGGGCGCCGTGCTCTTGACGAGGTTGTACGACATGTCGAGGTAGGTGAGGCCGCTGAGGCTCGGCGGGATGTTGAGCGAGAGTATCTGGTTGTCGTACAGTGTGAGCCGTGTGAGGGACGTCAGGCCTTCGAGCCCCTCCATCTTCGCGATGAGGCACGACTGCAGGGTCATTTCCTGGCCACAATGAAGAGGGGGAGGGACACAGGGAGAGAGGCAGAGAGAAGACAAGACAGACAAGGAAAGAAGAGTTCAACTATTATTACCGGTAATTAGGTCAGTGGGTCAAGTTTGGCAAGTAGGAGGGAATGATGGGCCTTGGGGCGACCGGTCCTGTGGGGCGCTCTCTAACCGCTAAGGCACGCAAAAACATGAGTACCCCCCCCCCCCCCCCCCCCCCCCCCCTTTCCCCCCC